GAAAGGACAAACTTAATTAAAATTGCCCCATCCATTTTGAGGAAAGTAGTTGTGAGATTTCTGTTAAACATAGACGCAAGAAAAGGAAACTGAATTCCACCAGATGCACGGGCCTTATTAAGCAAAGAAAATAAATCGGTAATTAAAAATTTCAGCAGATAAAACAGTAGTTTCCTGTCCCAATACAACGGTCCTTATGAAGTAATGCCATGCATGAGCATTTTCTCGAACATATATAAGAAAAGAATAAGATAAATGAACAGGAAAATTGGTTTTGAGTATTTTCAAAGTAAACTTGACAAAAAATGTTTAAATTTACCAAATTAAAAAGTAATGTTTTTTTGTACTATAAATGTAAATAAATAATTTGTATTTGCGCACTTATTTTTATTTCACATAATAAGAAAAGGGATTGCAAGAGAACTACTACGCCCAGAAAGTAAAAATTTGAGTCAAACTTCTATTTTTTTTTAGTCTATATCTTTTACTTATCTTATGGCCAGGTTATGGATTTTGTCACAAAATACCTATAATTTATGAGAAACATTTAAATTTTTATTAGTATTATTTACCTTAAATCTTCTTATTTGTAAACGAATATATTACAAAATAACCTATAAAGCTTAAGTAACTGCATAAAATCTAAAATTTGCAAAATATCGAATTTTAAACATTTAATGCTTATAATTCTATATCCCACGTGACGTCACCGTCAGTCAGCTGCATGCGCAGGAACATACCGTTAGTCTGTGTATCGTGCTCGCACCTATTGTTTGACAAGTCTTTGTAATCCCTAATTGGTATACGTAACGGACAGTTGCCAAATCAATGTTTCTGTTTATGACATATATAATTGAACTATCAAATTGTCAACAGTTTTTTTTTGGATTTAATAAACTAATTTATTTTTTCATTTTTAAAATACCTAAGCATTTAAATATTCGTGCGAAAGAATTTTGTGGAGTCTCTAATACGATATTTTAAAGAAGAACGAGTTAATGTTTGCCCTTTATTATCAATAAATGCAGTCAGAGAGCGTGTAGCAGTGACATTGAATTTGAATATTTTGACGAAAATCTTAATTTCCAAGGCATTAAAGAATGACCATCTTTTAAATTCTCCTCTAAAAAGGCAACCACATCCCAAACATGTAACAGAAATTTTCAATTCTGACTACATTCATGATGTCATTTAAGATATGTATATAAGAAACAACAAGTAACTTATGCTAAATTACATAAAACTTTAACGCAAAGAGAAATGTTTACGCAAAAGATCATTATATACAGTGTTGACCAATATAGGATATAAGTGGAAGAAAAATGATCCCCGGCGGGCTCTTATGGAACTTCCTCATGTTGCCAGAAAAACATTTAGTGAAATGGTACAGTGAACCTGTTTTAGCAAAATAATGATAAAAGAGTTGATGGAAAAATATTCATTGTTCTTCATGCTAGTAACGAAAACGGTTTTATTGTGAGGATATAACTGATGTTTTTATCAAATAGTAACAATCCCAACTATCATAGAAAGTTAATGAAGCAAATTTTTTTTAAATGGTTCGAGTATCAATAACTTGAATGAGCCTTCAACGAGTGTTATGGATAATTCTTCCTATCACGGCACGTTTCTTCTTAAAATGCCCAATAATTCCTGGACGGAACCTAAAATTCAGAATTGGCTGACGACACACAACATTCAGTTTGATTAAAATATATACAAATAAGATTTATTGATCACAATTTTCAGAAATTGACTAGCAAAAATTTGTAAATTATATCATCTTACGGAACAATATGACCACACAGTTATTCGGTTATCTCCTTATCATTGTACATTTTTTAACTACAATTAAAATGTTGCTAAAAATTATTATAACCGGTATATTTGGTAGGGATGGCTACTCACTTCAAAATTGTTTAAGTATGTGGAGGGATGCACTACAAAATGTAACCACCCCAAATTTGGTCAAATAACATCAGTCATACTGAAAAATTATTCAGATGTGTTGGGACCATGAAGTTAAATTTGAACGGGAGGATATTTTACCAGTTAATAATTGATTTTATTGATGATGGCGATAGTGATTTTTATTCTGAATAAAGCTTCACTTGTTTATTTTTATTCTATTTATTTATATTGGAAGATCTACTTCCGAAATGTTCTAAAATTGTATATATTAGGTTTACTAAATTACTTATTTAAAGTGTCAAAAGATGGAGTTGAAATGAAACATTAATTTTTTTATAAAATATTTCGAGAGAACCTCGAATTTTGTAGCAACGTGGCAACGTTTACTTTCATTGGTTTATGACATGCATTGGAAATTTCATTGCATTTACTACATGACAATTAAGCTGTATCAGTAATTTTGACCATATAAGTTTCGAGTCACTGTTGTTACATTGTTATTATATTGTTAATACATTGGTGTTACAATGTTGTTACAATGTTGTTACAATGTTGTTACAATGTTGTTACAATGTTGTTACAATGTTGTTACAATGTTGTTACAATGTTGTTACAATGTTGTTACAATGTTGTTACAATGTTGTTACAATGTTGTTACAATGTTGTTACAATGTTGTTACAATGTTGTAACAATGTTGTTACAATGTTGTTACAATGTTGTTACAATGTTGTTACAATGTTGTTACAATGTTGTTACAATGTTGTTACAATGTTGTTACAATGTTGTTACAATGTTGTTACAATATTGTTACAATGTTGCTTCAATGTTGTTACAAGGTTTTTACAATGTTGTTACAATGTTATTACAATATTGTTACAATGGTGTTACAATGTTGTTACAATGTTGTTACAATGTTGGTACATTGTTGTTACATTATTGTTACATTGTTACATTGTTGTTACATTATTGTTACATTATTGTTACATTATTGTTACATTATTGTTACATTATTGTTACATTATTGTTACATTATTGTTACATTATTGTTACATTGTTGTTACATTTTTGTTACATTGTTAATAAATTGTTAATACATTGTTGTTACATTGTTGGTACATTGTTGTTACATTGTTGTTACATTGTTGTTACATTGTTGTTACATTGTTGTTACATTGTTGTTGCATTGTTGTGACATTGTTGTTACATTGTTAATAAATTGTTAATACATTGTACAAGTATTCATTTTATTATTTGAATCCAGTTATATGTCAAGTTGTCAGTATCTTTCCTAAAACACTCTTTCTAAACAACGTTTATCCTACAATATCTCCTATCCCCCGAACGCAGTCAACGTCCCACGCCTTATTTCTCGGCGCTTGCTCTCCCTAAATATTTCCTTCATAATATCCTTGCAGACACCCTTCGTCATATCCCACACCACCTAAATATTTCTACCGTATTACTGTCCCAATGCATTACCGTATTTAATACCTTCCTCTTCACCACGACGCTAAGCGCCTCGACGCAAGGCAACGCTCAACGCTGCTACGTACTTAAATCGACGCCATCACAACGGTAGATGAAATTAGTACATAATCTAATGTCTGTATTTTAAATGGTGAGTCAAAAGATTTATGTAACTTTCTTTGAGATACCACCGGGCTCAAGTGGGATCTCAGTAAATAGTACTAATTGTAATATACTTTTCTAATTATTGCATCACATTTAAAGTATGAAAAATAAAATAGTTGAAATATAAATTTGTCTGGTTTTATTTATCAATTTGCACAAAACTTTGCATCGAATCCTAGTTTACATTAATTAACATTTTCACAACGTGTGTATAAAAATTATCAATTAATTAACTAGACGATCACTTCTACTACTAGAGGAAAAAGGCCAAATACAGTTAGTATAGAATTTAAAGTAAAATAAACTTGTGAGGTAAATAATTACATTTCAGAGAGTAAAACAAACAAAAAAATGGGGTACCGGGGGTGGGCTGTTAGAGTACATACGAGTGGGGTAATAAAAATAAATTATATTTTAATCTAAAAAAGTGTAACATAAAATAAGCCCAATACATTTTAAATATATTATGAAAAGAAAATACTTAAATATAATTAATGAAGTTAAAGATTTGGGAGTGAGGTATAATTCTAGTCTATCACTTGCAGTGCACTTTAAAGAGACTTGCAAGAAGGCAAATAAATCTTTAAGATTTGTTATAAGAAGTTCTAGAGAATTTTTTAATATAAACACAATAAAAACATTAATATTTTGCTTTAGTGCAACCTATTTTAGATTTTGCTTCTATTATTTGGCATTTACAGCCTTATACTTTTTGGAGTAAATTTGAAAAATACTAAACTAATTTCTAAAATATTTAAATTTTAAAGACCATAATAGCCCGATTATAATATAACAAGGATAACGCATTTGAGGAGCACCTTTGCAATTAATTCTCTTAGCTTAAATATGTATGGTGTTTTTATATAAAATAATAAGTAAACTTGGAAATTAATGATCCAAAGTTCCCTTTAATTTTTTGTCATCCACCGCCCGGTCTCCTCTGCCAACTATGCCTAGTATTGCTTAGGCTTGCAAATGAACATAATTAGATTTTTCCAAAATTTAAGAAAATGTGTAATTATTATTTTATCGATATTATGATTGTATACATAAATTTTGTATATTTATTTGATTTATTTTATTATTGTTTAATAAACAATACTTATGTATTGGATATGATTGTATATTTGTATTTGTATGAAGTCGTATTCCATGTAATTAGGCTTGAAGCCTGTTTAGTATAAATAAATAACAGAGTTGTTAGAAAAATTATTTTTTATAATGGCGTTGGTTGCAAAATAATTTAAATTATTATATACTAAAAATAGCTCTATATTTAAATATAATTTTTAACATAATAATATTAAACCAACAGAAACCTTTTTGAAAAGGCGTTTTACTGCTCTTAAGATAGTTTAAAGTTGTGAATATAACCTCTTTTACAATATACCTGTATTTAATTTAGTTATTTTAACTGTACTATAGCAAAAAACTGATTACAAATATTTTATTTATTTTCAGCGTGGAGTGGTGGTGTCGATTTGCAAGGACCTTTGTTTATACACGAACCGCCTCATAGAGTCGAATTCAGTAATAGTTCGGGTGGAAAAGTCGATTGCACCGCCCATGGGAGTCCCCCTCCAGAAGTGGAATGGATACTGGCAGATGGATCACCAGTTCATCAGGTCAGTAATTGAAAGTGACATTTTCTTCTTAAATCCTTTAATAGTACATTGTGCAAAAGTGCAAAATAGTATACATTTTGACTACGACCACACTTTTTAGAGATTACAAATTTCAGGTAGGTATACAAATATAGGAAAATAAATTAAACAGACTATTCAATTTAATAAAAAAGTAATGTAACTAGTTTCGACTTTTAGGTCATCCCCAATTATTAAAGTTATAATTTTTAGTCTACAAGACTATTACATTTCATTAATATTATATTTCTGTTTCTGGAATGCTAATTTGTTTTACAAAAATGCAAAATTATTATTTTGTTTTCTTAAACTAAATTGTCATGTAAATTTTACAATGTTCTTACACCAAAATTATAAAATAGTTTTTACAATAGCCATAAAATTCTGCATCAATAGCGCAATTTGCTTCCGATGAAAACTCTAAAACAACTGTAATGTATATAGAGGTCCCGCTTTAGATGTTATTGTCGCGCTTTTTAAGTTGCTGCTTCGCGTCACGCCAAAGTACCAAAATGTCACGCTTTTTACTGAAAGTCCACGCTTCTGACTGAAATGCCACACTTTTTACTCAAATGCCACGCTTTTTAAATTCAAACTTATAAATAATAAAATTTGAGACCTTTTTTTTTCAATCTTCCCAAGCGAAAGACTTTTTTTTAGATCTCCACAAAAAATTACGTCTTTATAAAAATGCCTGTTTTTTCATCCTGATCCCTGTGGTCATCTCATCGTTGCCACGCTTTTCCCTTTTGTAAATCTGGCAACTTTAGTGATGTAGTATCGAAAAATGTCTGCATAACTGAAAATTATATCATACAGCTATTATTTAAGGATATTATTATCCCTTTAAATATAGCCTGCATCTGCCTGAGCAAGAACAGGCTACGTATTGTAACAGGGATCCTTACCGGGCACTGCCGACTAAAAGGACACCTAAGTAAACTGAGAGTAGTAGAGGATAGTGAGTGCAGATTCTGTGAGGAGGAGGACGAAACCTCCATTCACATCCTAACTGAATGTGTAGAACTCCAGAATCCAAGGGCACTATATCTAGGAGGATATCAAATAGAAGAGGGAGACTTACCTAACTTGAAACCACTTCAAATCCTACACTTCCTTGAGAAAATAGGATTGGAAGGGTCGCTATAGGCATTGAGACATTTTCTTAGTGCAGTGGCGATAGAAGGGGGCACAATAGATCTTTTAGGTCGCAGTGTATTAACACCCCATTATCAACATAACATAACACAACATAACATCCCTTTAAATATATATTAAAAAAACAAACTACATTTGGTAGGTATTAACAGTACCTACACATATTGTTCGTATTTCACATTTGTTCAACTACTTCCCAAACCGTTTGTATGTAAAATGTGAGGGTGTGGTCTAAAAATATTAGATTTAGACAAGTAAAGGAATATAAAAAAGAAGTTGTACCTACTTCTCAGAGAATAGTGTGTAGGTAATAATCAAAAGAAAAGTATCATTCAGCCAGTTTCTATTAGATATGTTTTGAATTATCATGACCCAATACAAAAAGAAAACCATACTTTTGGCGATGTCTATGCTAAAATTGCTTGTTTTAACAATATTATAAATTATGCTGGCTCTGTAAACTGTAGAAACGTTTCTAATTATTTCAATTTTGAAATATTTAAATTGCAAACGATTTAGTAAGGTTATGTTATGCTTGCGTCATATAGTAGAGCATTTTGACACTTAATACAACTTTAGGCGTTTTCGGAAACTTACTCGGATCAGAAAGATTACAAATCCTATTGTTCGTTTACCTACTGTTACTAACCATTTCCGTTTTCGGAAACTAGTAGATTACTGATCCAATTTTGTGATCGAGATCAGTATTTTTTGATCCCCTCTGCAAGTAGATTAGTAATAGATTTGCATGCGCATCGTAAGATTTTATAGAGAAATGGTGGAATGACTTTTTGGTACCTGATGTCTGATGAGTAGTTTTCTTTTAACATTTACATTAATTTAGTTACTTAAAACTTGTAATGTTTAAGCAAGAGGATAATAACTTCTTCATCAATCTAGAATACTATTCTAAAATCATACTTGCTAGAGGGAATAGGTTATTTAAAATAAAATGGAGCCTAAACAAATAAGGGTTTTAAATATTAAATGTCACGCGGGGAAAGTCAACAATTGATGAAAGTTAATAAGCAGGAACAATAATCAAACTCATTCGTAAACTGTCGACACTAAGTTTAATGATCTACGTGATCCATCGGGTAAGCCCAGTAATCCGGATTTGTGATCTATAGTAGGTTTTTGAAAACGCCTTTTATTGCAATATTTTATTGACATGATTCTTTTTTAAGAACTCCTTAAATCCTCTGAATATATTTAACAAAAATTCAAGACAGTTCTAAAGCCAAATCTACTGCCGGTTTTACTAGTTTATAAGACAAAACCAATGTTAATTATATAGTTTTTTTATCATTCGTAATATTAGCATAATCTTATTACTAAAAAAAGCGAATTAAATAAATTTAATTTTTATTTTGGACTGAAAAAATATGAATCAAACTCGAGGCGATTAAAATTTTTGTATTATATGTACGAGGGTGGTTTGACGGAAGAGTGACTTTTTAATGAAAAAGTTGCTTTACTGTAAAAAATATTTTATTTTTCAACATAAACTCTTGTTAACTCTACACACAGCCCAGTGAGTTTCCAATTTTTTCAAACTATCCAAAAAATAATCTTTTGGAAGTGTCTCTACCATCGCCTCTTCATTTGTCTGAAATCGCTTTCCACCAAGCCATTTTTTTAGATTTGGGAACAGAAAGTAATCAGAGGGAGCCAGATTAGGTGAATATGGCGAATGAGGCAATAAATCGTAGTGATGCCGAGAGATGAGAGATTCTCGTCTCGTCTTGTCTTGTCATGTCTCGTCTCAAACGAGACGAGAGAGACATTTTCTCTTGAAAACAGATTCGAGACGAGACGAGAGAGTGTCATCTTCAGACGAGAATTTCTCATTTCTCTCGAACTCTTTCGGGCTCCCTCGAACAATTTTAACATATTAGATTTCGAGATAGTCCAAAAATTAACTATAACACACCTATTCTATATATATTAAATGGTAACAAATGATACTTGTATTATTAGGATTTTATAAATAGTAATTTATAAGAAAAAATATTTCTCATTTCATTTATTTAAAATTTATACAATAATTTCTAATATTTAATCCATTCTGCTTTTCTGAGGTTACATTTGAAAATTTTTACGCGTTTTTTCGAAAAACTGTCAAAGAAAAGGTAATACAAACGAAAATATTATATACAGTGAGGACGAAAATTGTACCCTCCTCTATTTTAATTTCTAAATGAAAAAAGATAATGACAAAACAAAAACGAGGTAAAACTCAAGAGCTATTATATTTTTGTTATAACACGTAAGATAGAGGGAGTTACTAGCTTTAAATTTTCTAATGGAAAGTAGGGTCATGTGATAAGCTCATTTCAAAGATATTTTCTATATTTTTGCGTTCATGTAAACAGATTTAGGTTAATTTTTTTTATTTACCGCTTTAACCTTAAAAGATCATTAACGGAGATATAATATCTTATAATTGCTGTTTTTTACAATAGTATACAATGAATAATTAACATTTTGGCTCGTACAGAGTAAACGTCAGTATCTTTTATAAATTCAAGTAATTTTTTACTGTAAGAGGGATTTAACACTGCACAAATGGCAATTTTTTGTAGCTGTTACTTTGTTCTTATACAGACATGTTCTGAGCCTTTATTAATAAGTTACATTCTCGATAACTCTCGTATTAACAATTATTGTTTAATACTAAGGAAACGCTTCTTGTATTTACTAAAATAAATTAAAAACCACTTGACGTATTAAAGCTAATTAAAAAATTATCTTCTAACATTTTCTAACATTTCTAGGATTATTGCGGCACACGAGGATTATTAAGAATGTAATTTTTGTAAAAACAAAAAAAATTAAAACTGTTTGCTTGGTAAGTATAATCAAAATATCTTTCACATGAGGTATTACGTGACTTTACTTTCCATTAGAAAATTTAAAGATAGTAAAGTCCTCTATTTTACGTCTCAAGTAAAGTGCATCTCATTATTTGTTTCTGTCTTACAAAATTTTACCGTTTTTTCATGTTTCGTCTTTTTGAAATTTAAATTTGATATTGTTTTATCACGAGAGAAACGAGACGAGACGAAACAAGACGAGAGAAAGGCTCTCTTGAGCGAGAGAAGCGCCTACTCGTCTAAACGAGAGAACACTTTTCTTTCGCCTTACGAGACGAGAGAGGCCACTCTCAGTTTGGCTAATTTTTCTGCAACAATAGCGAACGAATGGGCTGGTGCATTGTAGTGATGGAACAAAATAGTTTTCTTTATTTGAATAGTAAAACTAATCTGTCAGATTAATGTAAAATTTTGACAGGTGACATCAGAAACATGGCAGAAACTACCAATATAATGACCGTAACAAAAGTGTTGCCAACTTCTGAAAAGTCACTCTTTTGTCAAACCACCCTCATATTACACAGTGTGGCCCAAATTGGGGATCTTGAAAACTAAGAAATATAGAGAAACGGTTACAAAGGAAAATTTTTATACGAGTATATAAATAGCTTTATTTTACAAATATATTCGTATAAAATTTTTCCCATTTAACCGTTTCTCTATATTCTATAGTTTTCAAGATCCCCATCTATGTAGCCACACTGTATAATTATCAGTAAATTTTTCAGTGCATCCAAAACTGTAATAATTGCCAATATTATTTGAAAATATAAAGATATAAAAATGTATTTTTTAATGTCTTAAAATAATATTCAAAAGAAAACACACGTATAAAATCGACAATCAGGTTATTAGTCTAGTCAATGGCTTACACTAAACTAGAGAAGTCAAGGTAGAACGTTGGCATTTTAACAAGTACAATTGCCACATATATTTTAAATTTAAATT